TCAAAGACGTCACCTGCCTGTTATAGCCCACTGTACGAACACCCTGGAACGTTAAAGTTCCGATAGCAACTCCGTCTTGTTCTTTGACAAGATCCTAATCCATATGACAAGGAATTGAAGCTCATTGGAAATATGACATTAGGAACATCCTCTTCATATTAGGCAGAAAGAGATGGAGATATCTAACCTTCCTCAGCCATTTATAGTCTCCGTCATAAGCGACTCCTGCTTCGAAATTAATGAAGTCTTCAAAAAGAAATGTTGGTTTAATGAACGACTTCCTACTCAGGCCTCAAACCTGGCATCCATGACCAACGTTCGTAAAGTTCCAGAAGAAGCCTGAGTGATCGCCTCGACACGTTCCTTGTCAGTCAAATGGAAGACGGGGAGCTCCTGACGTAGATTAAAGATCATATTTACATCCACACCGCCCTCATGACCATAATGATAGCGGAAAGGGAGAGGCTCATTGGCGTAACACATTGCAAATGAAGAAAGCGACCAGTCAGTACAGAAGCAGAATTAAATTGACTTAATTCAAATGCAGAAGTTGAATGTTGCATTAGCAAAGTTAAACGTAGAAGTCAAATTCTGCGTTAGCAAACTTAAACGTAGAAGTCAACATCTGCGTTAGTAAATTCAAATGCAAAAGTCGAAATCTGCGTTAGTGAACTCAAACGCGGAAGTTGAATCCTGCATTAGCGAATTCAAAACGCAGAAGTTTAATCCTGCGTTAGCGAATTCAAAACGCGGAAGTTGAATCCTGCGTTGGCGAACATGAACGCAAAAAATGAATTCCATGTTTTGAATTCCAAACGGCAGAATCCCAATCCTACGTTACATCATTATAACGAGTCTCCTCGTTGATTCAAAGTTTAGAACTTGTTGTAGCAAGTTTTACGGCCACAACGGCCTCACTTACCTCCGACTAAAGGGAAAAGGGGAGCGAGACAAAATCTTCTTTTTTGACGTCATTAATGTTGTTAGAGGAGGAAGATGAATAGTTTCTCGTTGGAGATGAAAATGAATTTTTTTTCATTTAGGAGGGAAGCGAAAGAGTTAAGTGACTCTGGGTCGACCTCAGCGATCTATTTATAAGACAGCTCTGAGCTGTCAAATCAGAACGAGATTCTAGGCTAGAATCCCGTTAAAACATGACTCCTGCGTTCGTGTTGGTTGAACTTCTAGACGCGGAGTTCAATCTTGCATCTCAACATTCGAATGTAAAAATCCTCTGATGGATTTTGACGCCACAAAGCGAACAGTTCGACAACCAGGGCCTCAATTCAATTCCAAATAAATAACCAGAAGCTCACAAAGGCCACTAAGGCGACGAAAGCCAAGAAGAAACTAGCCTACGAAAAAAAGTTATGCAGTTTCTCGGATGAATATAGACATGTTATAAACAATGATGCGAGAATTATCAAATTCAATTCTTCATGCAACTCATCCTTTCAAAAGGCTTAACATTCCAACCAAGATCAATAAGAGTGTGGTCAAAATTATTACCCCTGTTGAGCTGATTAAGAAAAAAGACAAAGTGGATCCCGCTGAGGCTACCCTCCTGACCAAATTTGAGATAAAATTCTTCTCATATAGGTTCGTGGTTTTCTCTGTCTATAACAATGGACCTGTCTTCAGCCCAGATATGTGCAACTTCACTGACAACACATCACATGTTCATCGATGCCTAAGAGAATATCCTTGAAGCTACTGTCGATGCTGAATACACCTTCACATAATTTGAAAGAGTATCTCAGGGATCCAAGCAAATTCACTGTTACCTTCTCTTCTGCTATCACAAAAAGAGAAAAAAAATGATGACTTGGACTCTAGCTTGTTTGACTAAGCCCATCATCATCAAAACACTTGGACTTTAGCTTGTTTGACTAAACCCATCATCGTCGAGACAATTGGGCTTTAGTTTGTTTGACTAAGCCCATCATCATCAAAGCATAAAAGTTATTTTGTTTGGTTTAAGGTGATCAGAACCATCATAACTACTTCTGCACGTGCATCTGGAGTGCAGTGAAGATATTAAATACAGGAAGCAAAATTGTGACTACAGCAAATTCTGACGACCAAACTTACAATGTCTTCGAATCAGATGGAGTAAACAATCATTCAACAAATTTTGGGATCCAAAGTATTCCGAAAATTCATCCTAGTCAACCGCGAACTTTCGAAAACTTTGGAGGGGGTTCTGTAGGCTGTCTAAAAATCACAATAGATAGCCAATCTTTATCAAACGTCAATAGTGGGAGTTACAACTCCACTACTTCTACATCAACATGTCGACAATGGAAGATATAATCAGATAACTTTCATGTCAACAAAATGAAAGCTACAATAGGAGAATTTTCACGTAGATCAAGAAAGGTTATAATTCAACGACCTCCACGATGACTGATGAAAGCTCTGATTAAATAGCCTTCATAATCAACTGAGAGTTACAATCTGATAACTCTCACATTTTCAATAGCTAAAGCGGAGATTACAAATAAACGATCTTCACAAACGCTGTAATAGAAGAGGTTACAAGTAAACAACCACTTCTAAACGTAGAGTTCACCTCTGCGTTCTAAACTCAGAACGCAGGTGGCCCCCGTGTTTTCAGCCTCCAGCAGACACTCAATTCTGCGTCTAAAGCCTAAGATGCAGAGTTAGGACTCAGAACGCAGGCGGCCCCTGTGTTTTCAATTCTCAGCAAGCATCCAACTCTGCGTCTCAAGTCTAAGACACAGAGTTAAGGCCTACACCGCCGACTTGGGAGTTTGACTTGTTCAAACACAAGCTGAACGGCCTCAGAACCGTTTATCCCACGTTTTGAGGGATTTTCGCCTATTTAGGAGTGGATTAAGGGGTTAATTACACCCCTTATCCCCCTATAAATAACCACCTTACTCAACCGAGTAAGAGGTTCAGAGTTTTGTTCAAAAATTAGGGGAGAAAATCAGTTTTGAACTAATCAAGAGATCGGCTAAGGAGAAGTTCTTGGCAACAAGAAGATCTAGGAGCATTCGTCAGCAACAAGGAATCTTCGTACTTAGCTAATTAACCGAATTCTCGGTTCAAAAGATAACTCTTTTCACAGAGTTTAAACTCATCCTGAGTTCATAAACTCGTTAAGAGTTCTTTTCATACTTGCCAGCAAGTTAGTTGTTCTAGTGAATTGAGACGTGGGGATCGTCAACGGAGAGCAAACTCGATGCGAGCATTCTAGGGAACCACTCCATCGCCACTGTGAAGAATCCAGACTTAAACAAAGGAGAGAATTCGCATCAGTTCTCTTCTCTTTTGTAATCAGGAAATTCAAATTGTAATTGAGGTTGAGAGAGTTGTAAACATTCTTTTTCTAAGCAATTAAAAAGAATAAATCAATTTCAATTCTTTCATTTTCTTATTGTAAAATTTTCCAACGAACAGTTCACCAAACTTTTTAGCCATTGATGTTGCCTAGGAATCCATGAAAGATATGAATAGATTTTTTATATATATAAATAAGTGGCTAAAAAGTTTGGTGGACATCCAATTATTTTGAAATGCTATTCAGTACCTGATAAATCATTCTATTAATAAGATTCCGAATAAACAAAGAAATTCAGGCTGGTGTATAGATACACGACATCGATGATTTCAGCGCGGACGCAAGTATACATGATAAGCAAGTTATAAAGCAAATGCAAATAGGAAAATGAATTGAAGAAAAATTAAATCTTATTTGAGAGATCTCATAGTTCTATTGATTGTAGTTCAAATGTATTCTAAAACGAGTAACTTAACTCGTGTAGATGAAAAAAGTGATGAAAAGTAGAGTACAAAGGTAAGTTTCTTATTATTTTCATTCGAGAAAATAAGAACCCATCTCAAACATGTTGGCTTCCATTTTGCTTGAAGAAGCCCATTAATCTTAAACTTAATACAAATTCAGTCAAAGCAAAAAATAAAATAAAATAAACAAATAAAAAAATTCAAGTAGAGGGTATTTTATAAAATTAAAACAGTGAAAATTGTGGTTTGTGTCTTCTACTGCTAATTTAAATCAGTAAAAACAACATACAAAATTAGCATAAACAATTAAAAAATGATTCCACACAGAATACTAAATTAATATAACAATTAAAAAATCAGTATATACACCGATTTTAAATTAACACTGACACACGTATGAAATTCTCATTATGTGCGATTTTCTGCAAGAACCCTTTTATGTGAATTTTTCCATGTCCCAAAGTTAAAGGACTCTTGGTGATCCTACAAAAGAAAAAAAAAAGTTAAGGACTCTTGAGCCTCTCGACTTCATTACTAGCTCGGTCAACTTTGTAGGGTTTCTGTTCTCGACCCATCTCTAGTATCGTTTTGGGCCTCAGTTCTCTTACAATTGGATCCAAACTTGTTAGGTTTACTACTGATAAATCTCCCTCTCGGCTCTGTCGTTTAATTTTCAAAGAGAATAAATACTGCAAAATGACGAAAACTAGCAAAGAACTGTTTGAGCAACCCTCAAAGCCCTATCTTTACGATGAAGTTCTAATCTATTTTGCGAATTTAATCCTTTTGCCATACAAGTGTCAACAAAACCCTCATTTTTGCTCGATTCATAGAGGACTCGTTTTGGGTCGCCATCATCCTGCCCTTAGATCTGATGGAATGAGCACTACAAATAAGGACTTGAGCAAAGACTTCTGGACAAAAATGGACTTCAACTTAAATTTTCTTTGATAAAAAATATTACAAGTAGTGCACTTCTCTCCTACACCTTTTTTGCACCTACACGTCATTTCATCACTCTTCTCTCTCTAAAATTTTTCTTCTCACAGCCACTCTAACTCCCACTAGGCTTCAACCTATCCCTCTAGCTCTACAAAGCAATCACTTCACTTCTTTTCTCACACTCTCTCTTTAACTTTACAGAGCCTACTCTTCAACCTACACTTTAGCCTTTTCTTAGCTTCACTCCCCTTTTATATGGTTCAATGTCGGTTTTTTTTTTCTCTAGAAACTTCTAAAAACCATCATGGCAGCTTCTAATGACAATTTCCAAAGTTTGCTAGATGGATAGAGTAGCTTCTAGGTTTCATGAAGTCGGTGCTGCATGACTTCTAACAAGATCCTCAAACACCAAGAACTTCTCGAGTAATCGAGAATGATAAAGGAAGAGGTTTGACTACTGAATTTCCAAAGAGCCAAGGTATGAAATAGCAATTGTTTGTTTGATTTATTGATGTTAATCTTAAATAGTAGTTAGTTTTACTCGTAAAGATTTATAAGTTGTTACGTAGGGAGGGCACTGAGAAAATATTGAAGTGAAGGTCAACTAAGGGAGTAGCTTTCTGGAAATTCTAGAAAATATCATGGTAGTGTTTTTGTCAGAATAGTGGAGATTAGGATATAAGGTGGTAGTTTTAGAGTTATGGGTATTTGTTATTTGGTTGTTTTGCTGGTAGTTGTAGAAATAGAAGTGGGGTTAGTGGGTTAAGAGAATGTTAGAGTAAATTATATATAGTTGTTGTAATGTGAATGTTGGGTATGAATGAATGATAATATTGTCTTTATCTCCTCTCTAACTTCTTCTCTTTTCTTCGTTCTTTCTAAATTTCCTCTGCTTTTCTATATTCCCTCTGTTCTCTCTCTTTTCCTTCTATTTTCTTCTCATTTTCTCCTATTTCAGTAAGCCAACGTTTACTAAATTATGGCTAGATGAGGAGGAGGTCGAGGGAAGAATTTGGCCCCTGACCACCAGGTATCAAAGCCAGGCTACAAGGATGAATCAGAGCTCGTCTAGTCTAACTCCAATGAGTTCAATATTCTGTGGAACTGGGTGTATCATCAAGAATCACAATTGAAGGCGTTGAATGATAAGGTCGAAGACTTTTCTTAACTCATGATGGGACCATCTTCTCAACTTATAGCGGTTCTCGTTCAAATGGGAAGGCTCTTGGAAGAGAAGAACAAGGCACCACAAGAATCAGTGCTAGGTCTTCAACCATTCAACAATCCTACTCAACCCATCCTACAACAGTTCACCAACAGGAGGTATGAGTACTCTATCTAACAGATCAACTCAGTCCTCAAACCAAGGAGGAAACCCTAAATGTAAGCTGGATTTCCTCATATTTACTGGGGAAAACGTCCACGGCTAGTTGTATAGAGTTTGCCAATATTACACCTCTATGCAACCCCTGTGAAGCAACATGTAAGCCCTGCTACTCTATTCCTTGATGAAACACCCTTGCAGTGGTATAGATGGCTCGAAAAAGGAAAGGGTAGACCCATATCTTGGTGGGAGTCTGAGCGAGCATTGCTAGCTCGATTTGGACCCTCGAAATTCTTAGATTACAAAGGATCGATTTGGACCCTCGAAATTCATAGATTACAAAGGATCACTGTCAAAATTGCAACAAACCGAATCCTTAGAAGAATACCAAGCACAATTTGAGAAATTATCCAGCTTCATTGATGGTCTTCCCAAAGAATATCTTGTTATTTGCTTTGTCAGTGGTTTAAAAGAAGAAATTTGGTACAAAATCATGTTGGAAGAGCCAACTACCTTGGAGAGAGCCAACCGAGCAGCAAGAATTCATTAAAATAAGTTTACATTAGAGAATAAATCTAAGTCCCTCAAGACACTCTTTAGTCAAGACGTAGCATCGTCCAAACCTACTTCAAACAATCTGCCTCTCACTACATAAATCAAAAGGCTAACACTCCACGAAGCTAAGGAGAGGAGAGAAAAAAGATTGTATTACCATTGCGATGAAAAGTATGTCTTGTGTGAGCATCATCTTCTCAATGACTTTATAAAAACCATTCATATCTCACTATCCCTTTGAATATTAGGATGTCCGTAGAAAAAAATAAAGAAGATTAAGGTAATAACCCATAACATGCAAAGGTCGATGAAGTTGATCTTCCTACGTCTTCTCCATGATGGCAAAAACCTCAGAATATTTTGTTGATTCATAATTAAAGGTGTTGCAATAGCCTCCTTAGCATTATCCCTCACGTCATATATGTAACCAATAGCAGGCTTTTTTCACCATCAACAAGCTTTAGAACAGTAACTAGAGAAGCCGTGAGCTTGAGCATATGAAGGAAGTTCCAAAAAGATAGCATATGAAATATCTTTTCAGCTGATCTACCCTTTGGATCTTGTAAAAACCCGTAAATTTGAAAATATTATGGTAAATAAATAAACAAGAATGAGATTTATTGTTGTATTACTTCTACGATGAAGTAGAGACTCGATCCTCTCTTGTCACCGAACAGATAGCCGTAGATAACGTCGCCCTCCTCTAAGGTCTTTTACTATCACTAAATTCTCTCGCGAAAAACTCAAAAACTAATAATATTGGAGTTTAGGGGTGGCATGCTCGGAATCGCTGAGAGATGAATGAGAAGAAGGAAGAAATTTTAGGTATAGGCTATATATTATATAATTTATATAATATAATATATATAATAATTATATAATATAATATTATATAGTATATATATTATAATATTATATATATATATATTATATATTTATATATAATAGACAGTATCGTAAGAATCTAATTCAATCTAAAATTCACCTTACTATGTCGATTTTGACTGATCATATGTATCAGTAGATCGAATGGTGCTTTTCATTCAGAAACATAGGTTTGTGTCGGGTCAGTTTCGAGTTGTTTGATCATATTATATATTGATGCTATATATATATAAAAATTATATATAATATATATATAATATATCATATCATATATATTATATATATATATATATATATATATATATAATATATATATAATACCTTGATATATATTATTATCATATATACTATATATATATATTATAATATATTATATATATATATACAATTTTAATCATCTAATTTCTTCTTTCTTCATCATCTCTCACGTTCCAGCAGCCACCCCAAAACCCTAATTATTAGTTTTGAGTTTTTGGAGAGATTTGTGAAGTAAAGACGTAGAGGAGGGCGAGATCTACAGCTTGTGGTGAAGGAGGATCGAGTCTCTCTTGCGTTTGAGAGATCAACATGAAATTGTTGAAGCGAGTTTCATCTCCTCCAATCCCATTCTCGTTTTTCTTGGTTTTTATTGGATTTTAAAACCTATTTTATGAGCAGAGACCACCCCTTAATCTATATGATATAAAAGTTTAATCTTTCTGATTTAAAAAGTTATGAAAACAGATTCTTTAAATTGGGTTTAAGTTTTGAAGTAAAGCTAACATGAGATTTTTGCTAATTTGATTTGTTTTCATGAGAAATTTACAAACATAATCATGTTAGGGTTTTTGAGATCCCATCAAACTTATATTTGTGGTTTCATGTAGCAAAATAAACCCCAATTACACTAAATCAAGAGTTTATATACGTGTTTCTTTTGAATTTTTTTGACTTTGGTAATTGTATAGAAGAACTGTCACTTTGATCTGTCATCTAGATGGATCCACTAATCAGAAGAATCAGTCGACCGGTCGGTCTGCAAGATTTAGGACTTTTCCCTTTGGTTGGTCGACCGACGTATGCACTCGGTTGATCGGCCGAGGCTGATTTGTTTCTGCATGTTTGTGCACGTCGCCGCCGGTCGACCGATGGAATATATCAGTCGACTGTCTGGTGCTGCATTATATATGTTGATTCTTTTCTTTCACGTTTGTTTGGATACAAACACGAAGTTCAAGCCATCCGTCGATGTACGTGCATGATCATGAGATTGCACGTATTGGGTTTGGGTACGCACAAGCTTTTGGATGTGCGTAATCTAATATTTTGAGTTTGTTATGGTAGGGAGTGATGATTGTTTCGGTTTACGCTAGCTTTTGGATGGTTGAGTGCGTTAATCTATGCACCGCAAGAGAACGCGGTTGACTACACTCTGAGTGTGTTAGTCCGTGCACCGCAATGAGAATGTGGGCGACTACACTCCGTGATGCATCATTATTTCAGTGGATGAGTGTGCATGTTCGTGCACCGCATGATATAGCAGGCGACTGCACTCCGAGTGTGTTAGTCCATGAGCCGCATGATACTGCGGACGACTACACTCTACATATTTAGGACGATTAGGACTCTGGCGAGAGTGTAACTTATGAACATGGTCTAACTTTGAGAAATTCATATATGATGGTAAATACCTTTGACGAGGCTTTCACCTGATTGTTATTGTTCTCGTGCCATCTACCCGAGGGTAGTGTGAGATATTATGATACGACATGGTATAGATGAGGTTTGGTAATGTATTTTTTTTGTTGATTATTTATTCATAGGATTTTGGAGTAGATATTTAGTGATCCACAATTTGAGATATATGGTATATATATGAGGGTTTCCTTGTTTGGATTATTTCGCTCGACGTACTCATTCTCGTGTTGTGGATTTCTAAATCTCAATTCCTCTTAGATCAGGGCTTTTGATTTATATATTTATATATGCTATGATTACTATTTTATGCACCTAACCCCCTTCCCCCTAGGGGCGGTGGAGATGTTCTCTCTAGCGCTTTGACGTTCGTTGTCTCCATCTTTTTTTAGGCAAAGTCAGGGGTTCGGAGAGCCGTAGGTTGTTGGAAACTCAGTATAGCTTACCGTCATTTATTAGTAGTTAGTGCTCTATAGTAGACTTTTATGATTTTAGTTTTCTTTTAGAAATGTATTTCATTTATAAAGGCTGAGTGCCTATATACTTTTCAATTGACTCTTGTATTTAGAGATTTATTGCCCTTGTTTTAGTTTATCAGATGTACTTATTTTATTTTATTGGAACATGATTATATTTATTATTGGATCTCTTCTCTACATTGTGTTCCTTGTGTTATTATCTTCATTCTATCTGCTTGTACCCATATTTCTTTTTGTTTGAAATCCACTAGAGAGATATTACTGTGATGGTAAAACATATTGTTACACAGTATTAGGTGCATGACAGGTTTGACATCTTTGGGTTCACCTTGAACTGTAGCCATGTGTGAAACCAGGGGTGTCACAGATCTCTTGCCCACTTATTTTATCTCTATTTCTCCAAATTAAGCATCTTTCTAAGGTTTTTTTTGTTTGTGGATGCTTGACAAACTCACAAATGAAGTGGCAAATAATTTTATTGTCGCTCTAAGGAACTCTTTATAGTTAATTTGTCCTCTCACCAGTTTCAAATCCACATATGTGAGTAGATGAATCTTGTTAATTCCATAGCTTAAGGACAATTTTGCAGCTGGTAGTTAACTAATATTCTTTAGTATGAGATTAATGCAATTAGCGATACGGTGGCCAATATAATTAAGGATATTCTTTCTCAAAAATTGTCCCTATAAAAAAATTCAAGATCAAAATCGAACAAGAAAGCAAAATATTCATAACCAAAAAACTCAATTAATAACTTTTCACCTACTAATTTTAGACTAGAATAGTTATCTGCAGCAACAAGGATAACATTCCGAGGTCATACACATTCAATCTGCTTGTTAAATATCTCAAACATCATGTCACCAAGTATTAGAAGCATCAACAGAAAAAGAAACATTGTATCATGAGGAAAGTTCACAAGAAAGTTGAACAATGTTCTGCCCTTCTTATCACTTCTACCATCTAACATGAAAGAATACCCTTTGGTGGCTCACACCTGCTTATGAGGTTGTATTATATCTTTGGTGTAATTCTGCTACTTCTTAAGCAAAGTTCCCTCAAATATCTTGATGTTAAAGGAGACAAGTTTGGCCCAAAAGCCATCACAGACTTCAACATGATCTTGAAAGACTTAAGTCGAGCTGCATTAACAGAAATTCTAGCTTAATGCTACTAACGAGCAATGTCTTGATGCACTTTAGTCACTGCATTTTTGTTGAGGCTTTCTTCAATAGACGTCTGCCTCAATTTGTGCCTTCTATCATAATTGGTGACATCTAAAGTGGGATCAAAGGTGAGAAGTACATCCCATCGGTCCCTTCATCTTGTGGAAGATCACATGCTATGCAAGTCAACACTTCTCCTTCGTCTTGCCATTATGTAAAATGATCTAGGAACTGCCAGATCTTTTCCCTTGTCTCTAGATACTTGAAGTGGTAGTTGTTTAACTTAAAGCTTCTCATCTTCATCGATCTCCACCATGTTCTCTTCACCAATCATCCATCACTTGTTTTTAATAATCTCGTCTTTCTTCATAATCCTTTCAACCACATCGAGACACTTTTTTACAAAGGGAAACATTTTTACAGTTTCGTTTTGTCCCGATAAGATGTTCCTTTTGTTATCATAATATCTCCATTTGCGATCTTATCACAAAAAATGCACTTGTTTCTATTGGCATTCTCATTGCCAGCTAGTTATGTGTATTTTTACATAGGATATTCTCTTCTACTACTACTTGACGATGAAGACATATTCAGATAACTTTGATAGCAACAATCAACACTAAAGCACATAAAATTATCTATTGATCACATATATATCGAGTAGAAAGAATCAATAAAGTCATCATATAAGGCAAGATGTTTTTAATAATCATACACTTGAACAAAACGCAAGTAATTAGCCTAACGTAATAAGTTAATAACTCAAACCAGTGCTTTAAAAGCACTCTTAGGAGCACACCTTAGATGCAAAATGTTTCGGCATGATGATAGAATGCTCTAAATCAGATGTGGGGCGCTACACTTGCCTCAGGCACGCACCTTAGAGTGCCCTGTATGCAGCTTGCACATTAACTAAGGTGTGTGCCTCTTTAAACTATGTTCAAAGCAACTAGTTTTGTGTTGGGTATAAACTCAATCTACACAAAAACTTAAATTGTATAACCAATTATTACTAAAAAAACTAATAGCGCTAAAACCATATCCCCTGGAAGAACCGAAACCAAGAAGCCCTAATTGAGACCGCCTCATCTTCATCTTTCCTCTTCTTCATCTTTTGTCTCTTTTTATCTTTTTCTCCTCTTCATCACATGAACCTTGGCGATCGACTAGTAACGATTGAAGAGGCTCCCAACAGAGGTAACTTCTCTCCCTTTTTTCCTATTATTGTTGTCGGTTAATTTTTTAATCTTCCTTATCTAAAGAGAGTTAGGATAGTATTTTATTTCTTATCATAATGTATGAATTGAGTATTGAGGCATTGAGGCTAATAACTTCTTTTTGAGTATTGTTACTTATTATTTTTATATATAGATGAATATAATGAGAGTTTATTGTTTTTTTTAATCTTTTCCTAGTAATTACTATCGAGTTTTGTTCAAGCTCAATTTGTTTTGCCCCAAAGTTTCTAATTTTTTATGTATCACTTTTGTATTGAGTATCAGGGTTATTAACTAAGCTAATAACTTACTTTTTGTTCAAATGTATGATTATTGAAAACATCAGTCTTGTTATGTTTGCCTTATTGATTCTTGCTACTTGATATATATTGATTCTTGCTACTTGATATATATGTTATTAATAGATAATTTATGTGTTTTGGTATGGATTGTTAATACTAAAATTATTTAAATACGTCTTTATCAGCAGGTAGTGGTTGAAGAGAAGATCTTATGTAGAAATACACTTCACTAGTTGATGAGAATATTAATTGAATAAGTGCATTTTTGGTGATAAGATCATAAATGGTGGTATGTCACAACAATAGTATTTTATTAGGACCATCCATGAAAAGGACTCTCAATGTGGTTGAAGAACTAAAAGATTATGGATAAATGCAAGAGATTGCTAAAAAAAATAAGCAATGGATGACTTCTTTCCTATTGTTGAAGATGAGAATATGATTGAGATCGATGAAGATGAGGAGCTTGAAGTTGAGCAACTATAAGTACAAAAATCTAGAGAAAATAGAAAAGGTCGAGCAACTCTTAGATCATCTTTTGTAATAGTAGAAGGAAAGTGTTGCCTTGCATATTGTGGAATATTCCACAAATAGGAATGAACTGATAGTTTTCATTTCTCAAATTTAATCCACCCTAGAGGTCTCCTAGGATGATAGCAAGTTGAGGCATGAGTGTATCTAAAAAAGTCTCAACAAATATGCAGTGACTAATGTACACCAAGATATTGCTTGTTAATGATATCAAGCCCGAATTCTTTTAATGCAGCTCAATTTAGGTCTTTCAAGATCATCTTGAAGACCATGGAAGCTTTTGAGCCTAACTTGCCTCCTTTGACATTACACTATTTGAGGGACCCTTTGCTTAGGAAGGAAAAGAATTACAATAAAGATCTAATACAACCTCATAAACAGATGTGGCCACCAAATGTTATTCTTTCATGTCAGATGATTAGAGTGATAGGAAAGGTAGCGCATTATTCAATTTCTTTGTGAACTCTCCTCATGGTAAATTTTTTTTATTCCATTGATGTTATTGATGAGATCAACACCAGTGACATGATGTTTGAGATATTCAATGAGCAAATTAAACCCATAAGACTTCAAAATGATGTCCAAGTTGTACATATAACATTCTAATCTCAAATTAGCAAGTAAAAATTTAGTAATGGAGTTCATTAAATATGAATATTTTGTTATCTTGTTCAGTTCTAATCTTGAATTCTTTTTATTATAGGAACAATATTGGAGAGAAAATATCCTTATTTATATTGGACATTGTTTGCTGCTCATTGCATTAGTCTCATACTGAAGGATATTTGCAAGCTAACAACTGGGAATCTGACCTTGAGCTGAGTTATGGAGTTGACATGATTTATCTGCTCATATGGGTAGGTTTTTACACTGATGAGAAGTCAAACTAATTACAGAGAACTCCTTAGACTGCCAGTGACATGATTTGCCACTTCATTTATGGCTTTGTTGAGCATCTATGAATAGAAGAACAACCTTAGGAAGGTGTTTAATTTAGAGAAATGGAGGCAAAGTAAGTGAGCAACAGAGCCAAAGGGCCAATAGGCTAAAAAGATAGTTCATATGTCATCTTTCTAGAATGTTGTTTGTATTCTCAAGCTCACAACTCCTCTAGTTAGTGTTCTGAAGCTTGTTGATCATGAAAGAAGCCTATTATGGACTATATGTATGATGTGATGGATATAGCTAAGGAGGCTATTGCAAGAGCCTTTAAGAATGTAATAACAAAATATTTTAAGGTTTTTGCCTTCATTGAGAAAATGTGGGAAGATCAGCTTCATGACCTTTGTTTGCCACATATTATTACCTTAATCTTATATTTTTCTATGACCGTCCTAATATTTAAGGGAATAGTAAGGTTATGAATGGTCTTTATAAAGTCATTGAGAAGATGGTACCAGCACAAGACCAAGACAAGATTTATAAGATTGGATATATATAACCATGCTAGGGGATTTTCTAATATGAAGATAGCTAAGAGAAACCAAAAAAGGAAGTTTCTAGTTGAATATCCACAATTCTAACCCTCAATTGATGAGATTTTCTGTAGGCAATATATGTTAATCACCTTATTTAAATTAGGAGTTGACTGATGGGAGTCTAATTGTGCAGCAGCTTTAGAGTTGCAGAAACTTTGTTATTAGAGTCCTCAGCATTACCTGTAGCTCCTCTAGTTATGAAAAAGATTAGTGTACTTTTGAGAAAGTATGCTTAATTTCTTTTAATTCAACAAAATAGATTTTTTCCTCTCTTTGAAATAGTAATATATTGATTTGATTTATTTGTATTACTTACAGATTCACAACAAGGAGAGAAATATATTGGATTATAAGGGGTAATAACATCTAGCTTATTGCAAGCACAACCAAGATTTAAAGGAGAGATATGACTCCAAAGATGCCATGGATTCGATCAAGTTGGCTGATATAGATGAAAGTAACGAGTGGTTGTTAGGTAGTTCGGTAAAGGTAACTATGCATAAAATGATTTAGTGGAGGGCAAGGATGACCTTACATTTGGTCTCGTAGCAAAAACAATGAGAGTTGAAGAAGATGATGCTAGCTATCTAAGGTCAACTGGTAGGGTTCAAGCATCTTTGAGTGATATCGGATCATCATCGAGGAGGGAGCCAATTATGGAGTCAGATGAAGAAGAAGAGTTTAACGATGAAGATGATATTCCTCTTGATGGGGATGATAGTGATGCTGGGGAGGATGATTAGACTATTATTTTCTACTTATTTGCTTAGTAGACTACTTGCTTCTCTTTGATGTTAATGAAATTTTTGGGCGTGTTCTACTACTTATTTTCTTTATCTTAGTTGATTAATTTTCTTTGATGTTATTGAACTTCTTTAGCATGTTCGCTACTCATTTGCTTTTATTTTAGTAGACTACTTGATTTGCTTCGATGTTAGTGAACTTCTTGAGTGTGTTGTCTATTATTTGCATTGTTTTAGTAGACTACATTATTTGCTTCAATGGTTAAGACTTTATTTTGTGATTTGGTAGTATATATTATTTGGTAGCATATATTATTTATGTTGAGCCCTTGACATCTTTTTTATGTGAAAAATAATAAGCACATGTTTCTTCATACATGTTTGTATATCTTGAAAAATTATGTGTGGTGCCCCTAGCTTCACTCAGGTACGTGCATCGCATTGCACTTTGCGTATGTGCTCGTAAACTAACTTTGCATCCAGTATTGTTCCTCATGCATTGAAAACAATGGTATGTCATTGAAAGATGCCATTGTACATCAAGGGGACTTAACTGAAGATGTTCGAAGACTACAACAAACAACTTTCTTACACTGGCAGAGAGAAGAAAAACCCTCTTTTTAACTCCAATAGATGTTAACACAAGGTCTGACTGTATGTTCCAATCCTAATACCATGTTTCCTTATCTAATGCCTATGAATAAGCCATAAGGCTGAGGTTGAGAATCAAAAATAAGGTTTTAAATGTCGGGTGTCGGGTTCACGTCAGATGGCTAAAATTCATGTGGATAGCAGAAATCAGGGACATGTCAGGGGACATGAAAAAATATCGGATTGCCATATTGGATGGTTTGCATATGTGTAACATAATATCATAAATGAAATATAAATATACTTAATAAATTCTTTTTTCTAAAAATATAAAAAAAATAGATTACTTATGATTTTTTGGAGACCCTTATCCTTCCGATGATATGTTCCTACAATATTAACAACATGGAATTAGATAAAAAAAATTAAAAAGATTATATATTTACATTGACAAATTAAATAGTTACGCATCATGCATGTAATAACCATATTACTATAGGAAAACTGTTTTCAACTAGTACACATTCTAAATTTAGGGAAACAGTTTGCTTGAAATTGAAATTATGATAATTGAAATTCATAAATTTCATCAATATCTAAATTTATGAGAACTGTTTTCCTAGAATTTCAATTTCAAGCAACCAATTACATATGATTTTCATAAGTTACAATTACAATTTCAAATAGAATTCATAAATTACAGAATTACAATTATAAGTAAATTTGTGAATTCTTAATTTCTATTTCTATTTGTGATTTTCATTTACAAATTTGCAATTCAATTACTAACTCAAAACCAATTTCAATTTCTAATTTTGTGTTTGACAGGGAAAAATAAAGAAAATGACGAGGTTGGACTATAACCTCGTCAACTTCGATCTAAAATTGAAGCTCTTCACAATCAACCCCCCTTTGCACTAAAATTTAAGAGAAGAAAGGGGAACTAAAATCAGAGAAATGAAGAATTGTTAGTATTTGTTTGTAAAAAAATAAGATAGTCCCACATTGGAATTTTGAACATTCTTTTAGAGGTTTAAAAGCATTGAATGCTTATTGGCTTGAATAATGGATCAAAGTGTAGGCTTCTAAAACGCCGGCGTGCGGTAGCCGCGAATAATGCGCGATTTTGACGCGATTATTAGACGCACTTAGCACTTGCACGCTTGCCGCTGCGGCTTAAATGTTCTATTTTTTTTGTATATATATAATTAATATTGAATATATTTTATTTTTAATGTTATTTCGCAATTTTAAAAAATTATGAAAAGACAAGTGACTGTTGAAAAGTGGCTGTTTGTTCCAAGGGGTGTTTTGAAAAGTTGTGAGCTGTTGGAACGCACATTTTCAAAATCTATAAATAGTTTATATTTTTAGATATCATAAACATTCTCTTTCTCTGAATCTTTTCTATCAAAAACTTCTGCAATATTAGCAAACTTGTTTCACAACGAATTAAGGAAAAATTCCAGAATTTGGCTTACTGGATTTTCATTTTCTGTTGTATCAATGGGAAAGAAAATTTGCATTACACCCGAAGCAACTTGTAATTCTTCAAGTGGCGGCTAAATATTTCTTTAAGAAAGGTGTTTCACAGCCTGTCAGAATTTTCTGCTCTCTATCAATATGTTTTCTTATCAAATGCTAAAGTAAATATTTCTGCCTACGATGGAGGTCGGAATTCAGAATCAGTCCGTGATGACATCATAGACATGGTAAATTGGCGCACTTCACGGAACAATTTCTCGGTTCGCTGCAAGAACAAGATGATGTTTTCTTTTAACAGCATTGAAAACGATCTCCTACACTTCTCAACCCCAATCTGCGCCCATAGAAGATCAAAACCAAGTGCAGACGGCTAACCAACCTACTGAGGAAGTAAAATAGAAGAAATCAAAAAGCAAAAAGGCAAAACGGTGAGGAAGATGAAGTGTTTGTGTCGGCGGTCACATTCTAAACAATTTCGACCGATTAATATGATTTTTCAGCGAGGATAAATCGGCAATAATCGGACGATCTGAACGCACTGGAATTTAAATACAAAGCCGAGAGGAGGAAGGTACAAACAAAGTATTTAATTGCTCAAAATATTCTAGAGAATAAAAAAGATGGTTGATGACAAGTCTGTCCTAGTAGGCAAGGTGTCTTGAATTGGAGGTCTTGGTTAATAACTTCATGTTCTCAAATAGTCTTTCCCAGAGTCCTTTTCAAGTTGCTGCAATTATTGCAAAACTAGCCATCATACTTTGGAAAGATTATTCGAAGAAAACTAAGCATAAAACTGAGGATATCTCCTTTGGAACACTTCAGTAAGAATCTTAGAATTGAGAGCAGTTGGCAGCGCATAACGTGATTCGAAACAGAATTATGTCCAAAGTGATTGTAAGGCACACCGTGGAAAAGAAGATCTTCGGTAAAAAATGTGAACCATTCAAGTAAAGAAAAGTGGTACCAAGCACTTTTAAACAAAGAAGAAATTTCAAGAAAAAGTGGGATCCTGATTTTATTATGGCGGCAAGCCCGACATTTTGCCTAAAAAAGAATGTCCGTCACAGAAAAAATAATAATTGTAAAATCAAAGGCTTCTGCAAATATGATTAAAGAGAATCTGGTCGCTTATGATATTCTGAATCAATATGGCTTCCCCCCCACCCCCCCCCCCCCCCTGTTAAGTCTGGATGGTGGGCTTGATTCTGGAGCAAGCAATCGCACGTTTTGCAAGACAAATCCTTGTTCAAAGGATTTGAAGAAATTTCAGAATTTACAGAAGTGCAAATGTGGAATAATGTCCTTCCGCAAAGGTTGCTGGAAAGGGACTTCTGGATATAGACATTTGCACTTTCTGGTGACAAGAAATTGACTCCTTAAAATGTTCTGTATGTACCCGAAGTTAGAAAGAACTTAGTTTGCTGTTGATGCTTCTTTGTAAGAAAGGTTTCGGGTTGTGCTTTTGAGTCACAAATAATGTTATCCGCACTGTCTAGAGAGCGGGATTGTTTGTGCGGAAAGGGCTACTCTGTGATCGGAATGTATCAACTATATTAATAATTAAAGTTATATCTTTCTGTTTAATATTGTTAGAGTCTTCATTATTTTGGCGATGATCCGGCTTAGCACATTTAAATTTCGCACTATTTGAAAAATATCGTAGGAAAGTGTAAGACTGACTTCAAATAACTTTTAATTGGTCGAATTTTGATAAATGTGAAATTTGGCTAAGTCTAAATCTAACAGAAGAATCTTTTCGCCAAGTGTTTCTCGCAAAAAGATTCCAAATTTAGATTTCAATACATTCTGATATTTGTGAATTGAATGGTAATGTTAACTAACGAGAGGAAAAAGATACTTTATCACTTCTTTTGATGATTGCAGTAGATAATGTATGATTACCTTTAAGAACAAAATGATGAAGCTTTTGATATGTTTAAAAATACTAAAAACAGAAATTGAAAATCAACTTGAAAGGAAAATTAAATATTACGTCTTTGAATAGAGTTGGTGAAATATTTTTCTGATAATTTTCAATACTTTTGTTGAAGAACATGGCATATATTCATCATGTACAGCACCTTATACTCCCCGAACAGAATGGTCTTAGCCGAAAGAAAAAATAGAACTTTACAAGAAACTGATAAATTGTAGTATGCTTAATAATACGCTAAATTTACCTTTAAATGTTATTGTGCAGGAAGCTTGTACACAGCATGTTATATTCATAATAAGGAATTCCGCGTCTAAATAGGTCAAATATGAAAGCGCCTATGAGTATGGAAAGTAGAAAAACTTAATTCTGTCATATTTCTAAAGTGTGGCGGGGTGTTTGGCTTAATTATGAGAGTTCCTGATTCCTAAAAGAACAAAACTTGGACCGTAGAGCCTTTAAAAGTGTTTTGTCGGATCATTGCTGAAAAATAGCAACATATAAGACTACTTGC